TGCTAGGGGGATCCGTGGTGGCACACATTATCTTGGCGTAACTTTGACCGAATTTCACGCCGATAAATACTAGGCTGTCGCCGTTTATAAAATTCATTTCAATATGCTGTAAAATATTGCCAGTCAAGCATGTTCTGTTACCACGTTTTCGTCCGTGCTTCCCAGCTGAAACATCACTGCTAGTAATAAGTTTAGTGCATATATTATTCGCAGTACTTTTTGACACCCTAGTTTGTTGTGCAAAACTGCAAATTGACAATTTTCTGTCGTACACTAAATTGTGTGTCGAATTATGAGACTGCATTTTTTCACCAAATTACATGTACTCCCGACTTTCCCGCGTTATATGCTCTGGGTGTCTGGACACACTACTGGGACACACACAAAGGTAACATTTTATGTAAATGAGTTGAGTACAGACAGTTATACATGGTATCAAACATGTTTAGGCTACAGTTATGTTTTGAATAGTAGTGATAAAATCACTGGCAATTTCATTAGGTACTTGCTCTGATGTATCAACATTTACCACAATCTGATTGTCCAATGTTTAGTGAAAACGATTGTAATATCTATTTTAGGTGACCAAGACAACATATACATGTACCTTTCACTGAATTACCTACAGCTTAAAAGTATGGGATTGTTTATTGGAATAATTTTCAGTTTATCTTAGATTAAAAGACTGTATGCGAAGCTATTTGTTTGAAAAAAGCGAAAGCAATATATTGGCATCCTATGATTCTATTGTGCAATCCCAGAGATGGAAAGGTTGAATTTGAGTGGCAAAATTACCTTACTTGGCGTATCTAGTTTGATTGGAATCAGTTGTTAATACTTATATCTGTTATTATTCAGTAACCATGGCAATTGTTATATATTTAGTCTACCTGTAATTTGATATTACTCGATATTTGTATGTTTTTTCTGAAATTAACTATTAATATGCAGGAGTCGCCATTTGTTGAAATATATCATGAGATATATTTATGTCTTTTGATAGAAAGGCCAGAGGTTATACTCGGTATGTGACAAGCATGCTGATTTAAATACAAGACATTTAATCATGTTTCTGTTGTTGTATAGAAATGGGTGTTTTGACTTTTACTGTGTATGTCTGTGCAACCACTGTGAAAACTCCTCCACTGAAGTGACACTATGGGCGTACTGTGAACTTTTTTTTTTTTTTTCTCCCAAATTTTGCAAGTCAGTGAAAATAGAAAAAATTTTTAACCAATGAATATTTTTCTAGGATTTGAGTGTCAATGACTTTCATCTTTTCATTTCAATTTTGTTTCACAAATGTCTAAAAATTATCAAACCTAAAACATTCTTGTAGCAATAATTACAATTTCCTGGCTATATATTTTCTGCTGACTGAACTGCAAGACTAATTCTTATAACAATGTCAAAACAAGTTGACAGTAAAATAAATGATTTGTGTAAATAATTTTGTGTCACTATAACGGGAAATATATTGAAACAATTATTGAGCTTCCCATTCATACATCAGCGATGTAAAAATATAAATTCAGTTGAATGTCACCATAAATACTGCCTTACTGAATCATGACAGATGTCTAGGAGACTCGTTTACCCTTTATTTCAACCCTGGATGGATAAACGTGGCTGACTTTGTTGGTGTGCTTCAACATATGTTGTCCTTATTAACATATTAGTGTTGTAACATGTTGGTGCTACATGAATAGTCGAAGCCCACTTAGCTTTCCCGAAAAATGTATATGCATACCATAGAAAGCCTGCTTAGCATTCTCCACAAACGTTATGCACATCAAAGAAAGACTGCCTAGCTTTTTCCACAAAAATACACAAGATATTAAGTTAAACCTAGCTGTCTTTGTCTTAATGATTTAAAAAGCTGACAGTTATTTTTTGACAAGTAATTGTAATGCCAAAAATGAATTCTTAGAAAGATTTAAAAAACAGTTTTTCCATTATTTCTTTCTGCTTGTTTCAGTTTCGGAGAAAGAAGATCAGTTGCACGGTGATATTGAAAGCATGCCACATAAAGACGACGATGGTGGCTTTGGAGAGTACAAGGGAAAGTAAGTATAGCTTCTTAATATAGTTTAAAATACGTGTTGTCATGACGATTACTGAGAAGCTCTTTTTACACTGTCTGTATTCAAAGACGGTAACTAGGTTACATTCAATCAATCATATTGACATTGTAAAAAGAAAAATGGTACAATGTGAATGAGGCCGGGTTTCATAAACCACTTCTTGCATCTCGTTGTGTGTAAGAAACATAGTAAAAAAAATTGATGTCTGATAAAAAAACCTTCAGTTTATCATTTAATCAGTATCTGTATATATATATATATTAATATAAACAATATTTTAGAATATAAACATAAATTACAGCTTAGACCTTTTAAAAAAAAGTTTATTATAAACAAGGACTACCGTTAAAATCCTATTATAAACCGCATACCTAATAGTAACCGCACCCCCGATTTCGGCTTCAGTGTTAAAGAGTTCTCAACAAAAATTGAAAACATGAAAAGTACCTATTAGTAACCGCACCCCCAATTCAACAAGACCGTTACTGACTTTGTTTCAATGAGCTGTTACATTGTTTCTAATCTTGTTCATTTGTTTCGAGGACAACATGCCTAAAAATATTCACACCTCTTTATTGTTCAGTAGTGTTAGGATGTCAAACACGCAGTGAAACTGCTTTTGTCTTGTGACAACTTTTGTCAATACTCCTTATGAATACGTCCGTGTGTCGCAAGTTTTTGACAATGAGCTGTTCTCACCGAAAAACTGTTAAATTCTTTTTCAATGCTCAGTTTATCTTTCGAAAACAACTAATTTCTTGATTTAAAAAAAAAGTCATGTCGTTTTCCCAAAAAATCGCACTACATAATCGGTAAATCTCTTCCGGGTTTCATTGACCATGAAGTCGGTAACCTGTCATTAACATATTTAAATGAACTATGGTAATTTGAACACGTGGGCACCATTCAGCATTTTGATTGGTTAATTAGCGACTTGACCTACTTTGACCTCGTGTGCATTCAAACTACATGGCGGATGTCGCATCGATCGTTTACATGTGACAGAAATAATTCGCTTACGATGAAACTAAGTTGAATTTTACTTGCATTTGATAACAATTTAACGAATTTATTTTTCGTGCGTTGTTATAATCACTACTGAGTAATAATCAACAATTTCCACAGTTCGAAAACAAGTAAGTAATTCACTTGTGAGCCGAAGCATGGCCGGATTGCGTTACCGTACCCACGGTACCGTACTTTTTTAGTGCCGTATCATTGATAATTTTTTACTAAGCAATGCATTAATGTTTGTTTTTATTCTCCTGTCAAAATATACTTTCCGTTACGAAGAAAATAAAAAAAAAATGCATATTACATTAAATATACAGAGTATTTTTTTTTCATGTGAACAGTTTTGTGACGTGAGGCTTATCACTCTTCCCTGACATCTAAATTGGAGTTACGCATATATTCAAAAGATTGTACGGTGTATTGTTTGTTTTGTGCGAGTGATGTGGGGAAAAAAATGTCCACGCCCATTTAGTGATTGCAATATGTCCCTAATATAAACCGCACCCCGAACTTGAGCTGTTGATCCCAATTTTTTATTTGATACATTGTAATATAAACCGCGGTTTATAATAGGATTTTAACGGTAGTCAAAAAATAAAAAAGTTGAAAAAAGTTTTAACTAACTTGCCAATTTGAAAAAAATTATGAAAATAGATGTACACATCTATGTAGCTTTTGTAGACCGTACCAAGTTGTTAATATTTTGTAAAAGCTCTTTAAGTTCTACAGACACTATGATGTTTACTCTGAATGTGAACGTTTATGTAAATATCCTATTAACCAAAGTTTTAATATATTGGTCGGTGTTAGTTTGCTATATCTCCATCGAAAACAAATTTTTAGGGCTAAAATGCATCTATTTAAGATTCGCTTCTTAAATAGCTCATATGTTACTCGAACATTTAATGTAACAAACACTTAAATAACCATGGTAACATTAGTATGTGTGATTTCTCAGCTATTCTTGCTTTAGGTATGCAATATAATATAATAAATTGTAAATTTAAGAAATCATTGCACTATGTCAGTCTCGATCATAATTTCGTACGAGGGCAGTTCTCATCCACTAACATGTTTTACCCCGTCCAACTATTAGCAAACAAATTTATTAAAAAATAAATTACAAAAAAATGGTTTTCAATGGGCTAATTTTCGATACCATCTTTTAAAAGGGATTCACCTGATGCTCCCGATGGTAAGAAGCCCGATGGCAGCCAAGGCGGTAGCACTAAAGGGGGCAGTGAAACTGATAGTATGGCTGAGTACGGAGACCAAGATACTGGACAGTTTAATGAGGATGGTTCCTTTATTGGGCAATATGGGGATGAAAAAAAGAGGAAACAACAAGAAGCTGAAGCTGATAATGCCTCCCCTGCTGCCTTCTCAACATTTGTCTAATTAATTATCGTCACCTCATTGAAGAATACATGCCACGATGGTGTCGAGAACAGTTTTGTTAAAAAAAAGCCTAGGGAAGAATGCTTATGGAAGAAATGATATTGCAGCCTACTGTGCGTTTTTGTTTGGTGTATGGGCATGTATGGACAATTTTATCAATATTATACTACAAGAAAATGTTGACTTTTTAAATGTGATTATGTACATGCGATCAATTGTAATTTTTCAGTGCATGTGTCATAAAGCCACTACCGGTAGTATTGATTGTGAACTATTTCATAGTTGTGATAAAGAAGTTAAGTGTCCTTTTCGAATCACTTCAAATTACTGACTTCATTCATTTTTGGGACATGTTGGATGCTTCTTTGAATAAAAATGAGAAACATTTTTTTTTTAATTCATTCAAATATTCTTCAAATTGCCAATACTAATTTTTTTTTTTAAATCCAATTATGGGTTTGAATATTCAATCATTTTAATGGCTTCCTTGGTTCAGCACTGCAGCATAAAACGAAAACGATTAGTTAGTGATGAATTACTGAGTCTTGGTTGGTCAGTGCCCTGTGCGTGTAGAAACATTGTACATTTATTTTTGCATTTTTATGGGACCACGCGCACCGAATGGCCCAACCAAGTGAAAGAGATTTATTTATTATTTCATAGCTATTGGTCCTTCTTTTTTTTTTTAAATCGTTGAAATGCTGCAGTCAGACTGAAATATTAGTTTTGTTTTAGATTCAGCTGAGATTTGTACTATTTTTTAACTGCTGTATTGCTAAACATTAGGTAGTTATAGCGAGATTTTGTTGAAAAAAGATTTGTAAATGTTAGACACATTTCATGATGGTATTTTTATTGCCCCGTTTGTGTGAAACACAAAATTGATTGGCAGAGTTACCATGAATTTTTAAAATTTTAAGATTTTTAGACAGAGAATATTATTGTTTATTATTATTTTTTTGGTTCACTTTGGTGTATAAAATAATAGTTCAACACTTTACTCGTTATGGGTACCAATGGTACCCTTCAAATTTACCAAAAGGACTTGTAGTGAGTACTTTCAGTTTACTAGATTCTAGTTGTAGAAGTAATTTCTAGCAGACAAGTTTTTAGAGATAAATGTGTCCTGGTCAATTATGGTCCTATCCCAGCGTTACCAATACACCCTTACAACTATTGTTTTCTATGTGTAAGTTTGTCTCATTCAATGGAATTTAGAGGGGTGACGGCTCTTAAAAGCTGGGATTGATAGATTTATTTTGATCCTACATTATCACATGCCTTGTATATTATTCATTCATTTATGCATGTATACATACTTGGAAACTACGACATGTCTGTATTGGTCGTGTTCTTGTTTGTTGTTGTGAAATATACAACTTTGAATTCTTTCCTTACTGTGAAAACAAAATATATAGATATACAACACCATAGTGTTTGTAGCCTTGTAATACGCGTCACCACTTTCATGTACGTGTACAAGATTTTTTTATATTTTATTAATTGTAAGATGTATAATTGATGTATCTACTGTTGGTCTATTTCTGCTCTGCAAAACACAAAACTCAAGCACTGATTATAATGGTGAAATCGCGGTGAATGTTTTTCCACCTATGAAATGTGGGAAGTACAACGCAAACATGCCATGATCAAACGTTCACCAGGGTATCACTCGTATGATACAGATAGGACATTAGCCTTAGCCAGCTTGGAGCAGTTTCATCATCTGAAATATATTGATTAACTGCCTGTCTTTTTT